GGAAACAGTCAGCCCTGTGGGATCACTGCCATTCAGGGCATCACCCAGGTGACATGGGCAGAGGAAATGATAGAGGATGGCACCCAGGATAGGCCCCACTCCCAGGAGAGGCTTATAGATGGAAATCAGATAAAGGGGAGGTGGCCTCAGAATGCAGATATGGGGACCAGGGCGAGGCTTAGGCTGGGCTCAGGCTGGAGCTGGGGTTTTAAGGTGGGGCCGAGCAAAGCAGTGACCTCAACCCTCCTCTCCCTGCCTGCAGATCCACAACGCCCCAGAGCTGGCCCTGTTCTGTGAGGGCTTCTTCCTCAAGCACATGAAGGCCCTGCTGGAACAGGACGCCTTCCGGCAGCTGATCTACGGCCGCAGCAGCAAAGTACAGGGCCTGGACCCCCTGCAGGACCTGCAGAACACCCTGGCTGAGCGCCTACACTCAATCTACGTCACCTCCCGGGTGTGAGCAGCTGGCCGGAACCCATGAGGTGGGGCCAGGCCCCCCGGGGCTGCCTCCCTGCCCTGACAGACTCCCTCCCTTCTGTGGACCTCTCCTTGGTTGGCACTTGTGTCTGGAGCCCACCTATCACCAGACAGCTAACCCTTCGCTCAACCAGGAAGAGATGTGGCCAACAGGTGGCCTTTGTACCCCCAGTTTGCACCTTGAGGACCACCCCACATTCCCTTCCACTTCTGCTCCAAGCTCTCCCCTCCCCAGCTGGGGCTCCTTATGAATGTATCCTCTGAGCCCAGGCCCTTAACGCAAAGCTAGCACTTGCTTTCCAGAGGAAAGGCTGCCCACATCCCTGGTCTTGGCCTCCAGAAGCCTGTGCCTAAGGAAGGCTTGGTGTGGGCTGCCCTGACCCTCATGGAGCCGGGGTCCGCAGTGGCCCTCCCTTCAGAACTGCTAATGTGCTGTCCCAGCCGATGGCTTTCGAGCCCAGAATGTAAGGGGCGCTGCATAGGATCTTGGAGGCCTCGGCTTTGCTGCTGCTGTTAGGGGCCAAAGTAAAGGGGTGGATTCGGACCCTCGGGCCTGGATCTAGGCTGCCTATGTGGGCTTAGGCAGCAGCGTCCACGACACACCACCCCCTGGCCCAGCCTCTCAAGCGAAAGGTTCCTTTAACTCAGGACCAGAGCACAGGCCCAGGTCTCAGTGGGAACCTCAGCTCCCGGGCAAAGGACAGGGCCTTGGTGTAAGGGAAGAGTTGGGAGAAGAGGACCCTCAGCCATGTCCCTGGCCTGGGTAGAGACCAGACACTGGGACAGCGTCAAGGACAGCTGGGTGCTCTGGGTGTAGCCTGGCTGCACCGCAGGAACTATTTATTCATCCAAAGCCCTGGGCACTTCAGGTGTCACTTCTGTCACCTTGAAAAGTCCCTGGAGCTTACAATCTGGAAAATATTTTCAACTAGCTGCTTGAGCTGGATGTACAAAGGAATAGGTATTATTTTATTGCTGTAATATTGTATAATACTGTAACTATACATTAATATTGTCACCCATTGTAAATGTACCATGGTTTTATTAACAATAAACACATTAACAATGATCTTGGCCTCACTGCTCCTGGTTCAGAGCTGGGGAAAGAGTCCAGCACCCATTCGCCACCACCCAGAGCTCCCCTCTCACTCCACAAAGAACCCCTGCCTCAAACTGACCAGACTCGCCTGTACCCCAGGACTCAAGTGGCTCTGTCCCTTGTGAGGTGCAGCAGATGATTAAGTAGGCATGGGACACAGAACAGGAGCCAGACTGAGGAAGGGGGTCGCTCCGGGGTTTGCCTGGCTGTGCCCAGCCCTCCATGGAGGCATGGGAGCTTCCTGGGTGTCTGCTAAGCCGTGCCCAGCCTCAACCTGTAGGCCTGGACGCTGGCTGCCTGGAACACAGCAGGGACCCTGCTGAAGAGAAGGTTCAGACCCAAGGTTTTTCCAGGACCTGAGCAGAAATCAAAGTTTTTAAAAAGGCCACACCAAAGCCAAAAGAAGAATTTTAAGATCAGTAGGAACCTGACCTAACACGCCAGGATTGAGCTTAAGGATGACAAAGACCTGTGGGAGCCAGTCCCAGGGACACCCCATTTCCCAGCTTGCTGGGGTAGGGACCAAGCAGGGCAGCTTCATGCCCAGCCAGGAGCCCTGGACCCTGTGGGACTATGGAGCCCTATTGCCGTGTGGACTGCAGCGCCCTCTGGGGGCTACAGGGAGGCGATGCACTGCTCAGTATCAGCTTTTTAGGAGACTGGGAACAGAACAGGGAGGGCTGTGCCCAGCCTAGGAGGCAAGGGCTAGGTATGCTCTGACTTTAGTCTCTAGGGCTTTATTTACTCTCTTTGAAGGTTTTCTCTTTGCAGAGGTTAAAAGACGGGACAGGGTTCCTCTGGGCCTTTGCATGGCAGGAACATACCCTTAGACATTTAAACTCATTAGGAGAGCTGGAGATGTAGCTCACCGTCAGAGCACTCGCCTAACATCTGTGAGGCCCTGAGTTCCCCATTCAGCAAAAATAAACAAACTAGAGAAAAAAAATCAAACACTTTCCCCAGGAGCTGGGACTCAGGATCAGCCCTGGCTACCCCAGGCGGCCAGACCCACTGCTGATTCAGGGCTGCTGCTCCGGGTGCTAGGGGCCTTTTCTCCTCAGCTGCCAGCTTCAGGTATGGGCACCCAGACTGGGGGAAAGCAAACTTCTCAGAGCCGCTGGGTAACCAGGACTGGAAGCGGCACTGACTGCGTGCAGAGCTCACAACTGCACAGAAGCACAGAGGCACCGTTTACCTAGTGGGGTGCAGCCCTGGCCTCCAGACACGGAGGGGCCTGCACAGCTAACTCCAGGTCTGCCTTCCTCCTGGGCCTCCAGCATTCGTCCTCCTGATGGTCCACTTTCCTTCTTGCACTGTTTCCATTTTCCAACCAACGTCCCCTTGGCCAGACACAGCACGGCCACAACTGTCTCAGCAGAGGTAGCCAGAGCAGTGCCAGGAAGCCCAAAGCCTTTCAAACCCCCTCTGCGGAGTCCATGTTTTGCTCAGTCCTTCAAAGGACGCTGGCCCCTCCTCCCCAGGCTCAAGTGCCCCATTCAGGCCCAAGGACCTTCAGCCCCGCCCCCACACGGGCTGCCATATTATAATGGCCTCAGATAATGAGCCTGCATTTTTCTAAGGTGCTGGTCACTTATTCTTACCCCACCTCCTCCTCCCTCAGTTCCAGCAGGGTCCCTTTGTGTCTCCTGGTCACTCCTGAGTCCTTAGGGACAGTGGGGACCAGATGAGCCCCGCGGAAGCACTGAAGCAGGCTAGCGTCAGCCCCCTCCTGGTTTGCGGGGAGCAGTTACGAATGGGCTTTGTTCAGGCTTTGGCCCCTTCTATCCTGGTGACAGCATTCAGAGCAGGCCTATCTGAATTCATTTTTCACAAGTGACGTCTCCCGAGACCGTTCAGCTTTACAGATGTCACTGTCTGGGGACCAGATGGTGAGGTCTAGGGAAGCTTGCCCTTTCAGGTTTGAAGGAGAGCACGCAAGTGAGACAGTGCAGAGGCCTGTTAGGAACAGTGCTTTACCAATGAGAGGGCTGGGGCTGCACAGGGCAGGTGGGACACTCACTTCCCTCTTGCGCACAGAGGGACGGCCGTCCTGGGAGAACAGAGCTGCTGCAGAGGCAGGCAGACTGCAGAGCACACACTGTGCTGCCCCTGAGGGGCTCTGCCCAGCTCAGGCTCATTTCAGATCACGGCCGGTCCTACTGAGCAGTCTCAGAGCTGGCAGGGGAGAGCGCCCACCGGAGACTAAGGGCACTTGCTGTGGGCCTGCCCTGTAAGGCTCTCCCCACCCACCCCAGCCCTGCTCTTTGGCCTGCAGGTGGGGCCATCGCTCCCATTCCTGGGTGGCAGATCTGGACCTGGAGCACAAGCAGAATGCCAGTCCACCGTCTGTAGCTGTAACTACCTGAGAGTGGACAGTTTATAAAGACAGTAAACCGTTCTTAACAGTTCGGAGGCTGGAGAATCGGAGTCCAGGGGCTGCAGAGTACAAAGTGGTGCAGGCATCACCACACAGCAGCTTTCTGCCAGACCCGAGTAAGCTACTTACATGTGAGCATATGAATCCTTTCCTGGAGGCAGCACTTCCCAAGTCACCTCTATGGTCCTGCCTCTTCACACCTCACCATGTGGAATGAATTTCAACATGAGTTTCAAATCAGAGGTGCCGAAGCTCTCAGAATGCCAGGCCAGAGCCGGTGTGGAAGCACTTCTGAGCACTTGGCCTCAGAGCCCCGTCCCCTTGCTGTGCAAGGCAGAGGCAGGGGACAGCCAGGGGTTGGACACCGAGCAAGGGCTTTCTCACATTCGGGACCACACACCTGGACAACTGACCAACCAGCTGGCTCCAACTATTCATGTGCTAAGAAAATCAATCCTCTTGACGGGCAGGCTCAGACACCCACCGAGAAAATGAAAATTATTTTCCTGCCCCCCTCAGTAAACTTCTGTGCAGACCCAATGGAAGGTCTGTGGCAGGAAACGGCAGAACCAGGAAACAAGGGCCCTATCACCCCGATCCTAACAGAGGCGGTGCGGTAGTTCTAGTGAGGGTCACAGAACCTGAGTCCCCTGTGGCGTCCTTCCATCACACTTCCACCAACCTGGTCACCTGCGAGAGCTGAGCAAAGGTTCCCTGTGGACTCAGGGCATGGAGACCCTCAAACAAATGCATCAGTATGTGGGAAGTCACCAGACGATTTCTGTCTCTGACAAACAGGATACACCAAATGATACTGCAGGGGCTGGGGAGAAACAGGGACACGGCCTGCTGACTGCCAGCCACCACACACACCCTTCACGGTGACCACAGCACCGCTTGGTACCTGCCACTCCTCCCACAGCTCACAGTCACAACACACAGCCCCAGTCTCGATCCCAAGCCCTCCATGTATTCTCCCTGCCAGCCAGGAAACGGCCACATGCAACTTCCGCAGACATGGCTTTCAGGACACCCATAGGCGAAGGGTCTTCTAGAATGTTATTTATTAAAAATAGATTCTCTATCCCTTTCATCCTGCTAGCAAGTTTTTCCCAACTGATGGCATGACAGGGCTTTGCAGACTCAGATGCTACTTAGAAAAGGGCTCGGGCTTCCCTTAGGCACCGAGGGCAGGAGGCCCGCTGCAGCCAGGGAGGAATGTAATGTAGCAGCAGCACAGCCTGGGGTGCACACTGGGCATCTCCACACCTCTAGGTACACTAGAGCTCCTGGGAAACGAGGGTCTGAACGAAGTGCCAGAGCTCTGCCCGACATCAGGTTGTAAGCAGAGCCGTCTGGGAGTGACTGGCTCCAGCCAGGCTGGGCCCAGAGACCACTCAGGGCCGGCTTCCGCACTTGCTGGGGGCCCTCGATGCTTCTGACCGTCTAGGCTGCTGCCTGGGTCAGCCGGAGACGATCTGGGAAGTCAGGGTGTCCCCTCACGGGCAGCCACCAGTTCCCAAGTTTCTCTTCACTATTTCTTCCGCTTCAGTTTCATATCTTTTCTGTTCTTCATGTCTCTGTTTTTCTTCAACTTCTTGTTCTGTTTGGGATCTTGCTTGGTGTCTGACTTCCTTTTCTTGTCACTGGAAGGAAAAAACACAGCAGGCAGCAGCATAAGAGAGAGACAGAATAACACAGCACAGATCTCCGGCTGCCTGGCTGAGCTCGCTTTGCTTTGCTTTGTCTGAAAGGGGTCTCTGCTGTCTGCCACCTGATGCAAGAATGTCCAATCAGGAGTAATGCTCTCTGCAAACCTGTCAAGGTGACAGGTATCATGCTGGGGCCAGGGACACATTACCCACACCCAGCATCTGCTCTCACCAAGCCGTGTCTGGAGAACGGATCTATCTTTCCACCTGCAATCTGGGTTCTCTGGAGAGCCCTGCATACACAAGGCCTCCAGAAACATCTAGGGTGCCACAAGAGAGATCTCTCCCACACCCACACTGCTGCAGTGACCCTGGGAACCAGTCACCCCAGGAAACCCCAAAGTCAGGTCTTGACATCAAGTGAGATTTAAGCAAAGCCTACTATATGTTCTGAGGAAAATCTAAAGGAAGCAACATAGATTCCACTGAGCAACCAACCATAGGAGGCCTCGCTGGCAGCCTGGAGCCAAGACTGCCCATCAAGTGGCCACCTTTCAGTAAGGATCCCTTAGTAGGTCAAGATCCTCTTGTGGCACTTTGCCCATGGAACAAATACTCCCTATGCAGGCAGAGTGAGCAGTCCACTCCAGGAACAGCATGATATGAAGGATGTCTCGGGATTTAGGAAAAAATAAATAAAGAAAAGCCTCAAAGACTACCTAATGGTAGGTAATGAGCATTTTACCTCAAAGAGTGCTAACTTCTGATTTTCTCTGGGCCCCTAGGCATGTGAACCACCACCCACCCAGTTGACTCCGGAGGCTCAGTGCCTACAAAACAGCAGAACGCTTTTTAATCTGCAGTAGGGAACAGCCCCAGGTACAGACCACATAAACAAAGGGTCTTGGGCTCTTAGGATGTAAGTGAATGCTGGCACCCAGCACGCCGAGAAGAGCTGGCTGACGGGACACATGGCACAGCAGCTGAATGACACTTCTGCTGCCGACACACCTGTCTGGGCTGCAGCTGTCCTCCTCCAGCTGCGTGCTTCCCACAAAGCGACCTCATCCAAGAGCTGTCACTTCACCTGTGCACAGTGCCGGTGGAACAAAGCCCTGTGCTGCTGTCCTGAGGCCAAGGACACCAGGCCAGAGTCCCACCAGCCTCAAGCTGACAAAGGTGCAGGGCTGTGGGGTTCAAGCCATGGCCCTGGACTGCAGACTGTCTATAAAGGTGGCACCAGAGCAGTGTCAAAGGGAAGAGTGAGCCAGGACTTCTTTCTCAAGATGTCCCCACACAATGCCCCCCACTTTCCAGACGGCGGTGGAGTAGCAGAGACGGCAGAGTGGCAGAGGCAGCGGCCCGCAGCCTGAGTATCGGGCTCCTGACCCTCACCTTTTCAGGCTGACGACCGAGGCATTCTGCCCGGCTTTGCTCAGAACTTCATTCCACTCATCATCATCTCCCCGGATGACGTACCTACAAAAAGAGGGGAAACAGCAAGGGCTGCTCAAGGGCAGGGAACTGCTTAAAGGAAAACATGACAGTGACAACAATCCTGTCAGATACCTCTAGCCACAAAAGCCAGGTCGAGCCATGTGAGGTTTAAAGAAGGTAGAGAGGGGATGGATGGGTACCCAGGCCCATCTCAGCTCAGCTCCCCAGGGCAGGAGTGTCACAGGATCAAGGTGGCCGGGCCTGCAGCAGGGCCCAGTGAGGACTCTGGTTCACTGTTGCACGTCCCCGGGCATGCCCAAGCCCTGCAGCAGCCCCTCTTCTCCCTGCCCCACCCACCCCTTTTGCACCTAACAGTCCTAGCACTTCAAGGTGTTGATACTGCAAGGCTGAGGGCAGAAACTACAGTCCAATAGCCTGCACAGACTTCCGACCCTTTCCATCTCATGTGTCCAACCACTATGGTCACCAGTAACGTAGTCACAGATGATAGTCACAGGTTCACAGGCCACTACAGTTGTTATTACAGCCTGGCTGTGCCAGCACTATCAGATCTGTCAGCCACAGGGTTGGGGAATGGGTGATACTACACTTAAAACCCAAAAGGGACAAGAAACCTAGGACACACAGGGCTCAAGCAGAGGACTTTGGTTTTAGGCAAACAAACCCACATGCAAGTCAAACATAGAGAAATGACCATGAAAAGTGAATGCCCAGCCAGGCATCATGATCCAGGCCTGTAATCCCAGCTCTAGAGTGCTGAGGCAGGAGGATCAAAAGTTCAAGCTCAGTTTAGGCCATTTAGTGAGGCCTGTGTCAAAATAGTTTTTAAAACAGGCTGGAGATGTTGCTCAGTGTAAAGGACCTGGGACCAACCCCAAGTACTATGGGAAAAAAGTGAACACACATTTGATCTGCAAGCCCATTCCCACGGCACCCCCAGAGTGTAATGTGGGATCCAGGAAGCACAATCCAGGCAAACCAATCTCCTGAAAGTTCAGCCAGCCAGAAGGCTACCGCTCTGATGCTTCCCTCCAGGACACCCAGGCCGCAAGGCAGAACAAACCCACAGGCAGACCCTGAGCCCAGTGTTCAGGCAGGGGCCTGGCATCACTCCGGCAGGCGGGGCCCTTACTGCGAGAGGTCCATGTCCTTCAGCTTCCCCACTTCCTTCTTGTGCTTCTCCTGGAACTCCTTTGCTGCTTCATCCTGTGGCCAAGGACCAAAGACAGCAGCAGGTCAGCGCTAAGGGGACCAAAACCCAAAGTGAAGGGATGGAGGCCCAGGGTAATGAGGAGGAAACAGCTCCTCCTCTCAGGGCAGCCTGGAAGCCGCTGTGAGCAGCTACGAGGATTTCAAGGTACATACCACAAACATAAAAAACACAGGTTAGCAGCCAAACGGACAAAGTCCTCACACAGCAGGTGCTGGCTCCTGCACTCATGCACACGCGCACACGGAGAGGCACAACTCTGAGCCCGTGCACTACTGACACACACAGAGGAAGACACTTCGCATCCACAGATCGGGGGCAATGACTCCCAAGGCCACTGGAAGGGGCATACCAGGTCATCACTCAGGGTCTTCAGCGTGGGCTCCATGACCACATCCTTCACTGCCACCATCTGCTCCTCAATGGCCTTTTCCTGTACATCATTAAACAGCTACAAACGACAACATGAAGAAGCAAAAGATGAAGGAGCAGGAGGGGTCCCCTCATGCATTATCCCAACACCCATTTTTGTTTTGTTTTTTTTTTGAGACAGGGTCTCTTTCTCTCTCTCAATAGTTTCCATTGGCCTCAAACTCATAATCTCTCTGCTCAGCCTCCCAAATGCTATTGTAACAGATATGGGCACCCATGCCCAGTTGGCACCTTAAAGTGTACACTTCCAAAATGCCAAGTGATACTCTAGAGTTCAGGGGCACAGTCATAGCAAGAATATCAAATTCCCAACAGGAACGCCCCTGGGAGAGAACCCAGAACTCTGCAGATACAGCTGGCATCACTCCCCTGTGTAAGTGTGGGAAGACCTACAGCAAACACAGTCAAACGGTACCACCGCCCAGCCAGGGGACAGGGGTGCACGGGCTGCATGAGTGGAAAGAGCAGAACCCTGCCGCCAGGGCCAGGTTACCTTCACAACCTTGCGGATGATCCGGTTGAAAAGCCCCATCAGCTGGCCTGCGGGCAGCTCAATCTCCTTTTCCAGCTGGTCCACAGACTTATGCTGCAGTCCAATCCCCAAGAGAAGAGCCTGGAGGATGGAAAATCAGCTGCAAAGGGCTTCGTGACAGGCCCTGGCCTGTTAAAATCACCCTGAAATGCAGACTTACCCTTCAACCAAAGCAAGCTAGTGGAAATGATAGACCAGGCCTGTTTTATTTATTATTCATCCTATTACTGAACCTCCCCCCAAGGGACACTGCCCAATCTAACTTGTAGTATCTTTACAAACTCCTGCTTCAAAAGTGCACTCTAAGACTGGGATGCTCCGGCTGCCCTGGACTGCTCAGTTAAACATCGAGCACAACAGAGGGGTTTAAAGAATTTGGGCTCTTCATATCAGAAATCCAGCAGGGAAAAAAAAAAAAGAATTTGGGCTCTAAGGGTGGCTGCCCACTGACTCTACCGCTGGGCACTCGTCCTTGGGGCTGCTAAATAAGACCAACACCCAACTATCAGCGCGGTCAGGGACTCAAAGTACAAAACTATGGCCATGCACCCCACCCAACACTCTGCACATACACAGCCTCCCTTCTGTTCCTCCACACCAGCACCCGTAACCCACCGACTGGGCAGCGGACAGGGTCAGGTCCCCCAGCTGGCTGAGGAAATACAAGCGGGCGATGGCCGGGATGAGGTCCATGATGAGGTGATAGTCCACCATGTTCCGGGAGTACATCTCCAGCCGCTTCAGGTCATAGGGAAGGAAGAGTGCGTCCAGCTCCCCACGGCCCAGGACTACACAAGCGACAAGAGGCAGACAGATTCGTGAGACCCCACCCTACACATGGCCCCATGTCAGTGTCGCGACAGGGCCAGCGCAAGGCAGCTGTCACACCAGGATCGGGGACGGCTGGCATGTGACCCTTCCTCAGAATTCCCACACCAACATGAAAGGCTTTCTGTGCCAGGGGGCCGGGGGACATGGCACTAGCTTTCCCACACTGTGTCAATGCTCCTCAGCACCCGACTTCACAGCCTTCTGCCTTCAGTTTTTCTACCACAAGGTACTGGCAAAAAACAGTACATCTACACTAAAATATGTACATAGAGGGGCTGGGGATTTAGCTCAGCGGCATAAGTGCCTGCCTTGCAAGCAGGCAGTTGTGAGTTCGATCCCTGGTACCGATAAAAAGGAAAAAGACAAAAAAAAAAAAAAAAAAAAAAATGTACATAGATATATAACAGGCATGAGGAAAACACTGCTCTAATTATTAATGACCTCTTATGTATTATTCAATTTCAAATTTAACTATTGGACCTATTATACACACAGACACTTTACAAGCTGACCACAGGAGGCGGGCGGCACATTCTCAGTACAATTTCACCAATAAGGAAACCGGGCCGCGACAGGTGGTTTCCTAGATCCGAGGGTTTACCTCAGACTCCACAGCCAACTGCTGTGCAGTGTCTCTGACACAAATCACACCCAGAGCCCTGCGGTGACGCAGACAGCGGCCTGTGTATAGGGCAGCAGACAGTGACGTATAGGGCACAGCTGGGGACCTGGGGCAGTGGAGAGCTTGAGGATTAGAACCAGGCCCTCAGCTCCAGGCACGTGCTCTTCCTGGGACAAATGCCGCTCCCAACTTGCCCCATTCCACTCACCCGGCTGGGCTGGCTTTCCCACGCTCCTGTTCTGAATGATATTCAGGGCCACGGCAGGAGAGAAGGTGCTGAACTGGTAGGATAGCAAGGCCAGGAACCTCCTCCGGAAATCTGCAGGACACAGCGGGCAGAGCTGACAATCACAGCCAGCCCAGAGGGTCACAGCACTGCCCCAGCTCCAGCCCACATGCACACCCACCTTTCCAAAAGGCCTCGAGCCAGGCCCCTCGCTCAGACTCGCACTCAGACTCATCCTCGTCAGCCAGCGTCTTCAGCATGATACAAGAGTGTTCCCCGGTGAGGTCATTCTGGGGGAACACACATTCCCACTGCCATTAGGAGCCCTTCTTCTGGATGACCCAGCATGCAACGGGGCGGGTTGTGGGCTTCGGCACCTTTCTCCATCCTGTCCTGCACCAGGTCTTTGCCCTCCCATCCCCACACTGCCCACCCCAGTCCTCACTTCAGAGCTTTCGAGCTTGTTATGTGCACCACTTCCTAAAAGCTGCCATGGAAATGAGCACCCCTGCCTATCTGCAGCTCTGCTGTCTACCCCAGAGCCTCAGAAGAGGGCCAGGTGTCCTTTCAGGCAGGCTCCGAGGTCAGGCCATGGCTCTCCTCCACACAATCCAGCCAACACAGTGAACGCTCGGGGCCAGGCGGCCAGCATGCAAAGTACAGGATGTGTTAGGTGACAAAAATGTTTTACTCCATAACAACAAAGCTTCACAGCATAAAAATATCTAGCAGCCTGAAGAGCACCCATAGAGTTAAATGCTGGCACTAAGTCACGGAGTACAACGCGCAGCAGAAGGCCACCACACACACCGCAGACTACATGGAGGGCGGGCACCGGTCTCTGGCCTCGACAGGTCAGGACTCTACCCATTTCTGTACTGCACTTCACAGCACACAAGCAGCCCAAACTCAACGTTCATCCCCAGTCCCTCTTTACTTCATTCATTCCTGAGACAAGGTCTTGCATGTAGCCCAGACTTGCTTCAAACTCAAGGCGATCTTCCTGCCTCAGCCTCCCAAGCACTAGGGTACCTGTTGGGCAGCACCATGCTTGTCTCTCCAGCCCCTCTTTAAATTCAAGTGGACAAACAACTCGACCTGGACCTTGTACCTTCCCAAATACGCTTCTGTCCAGCGGATGGCCCCTCACTAGGAAACCGGAAGCCAACAGAACACCTCTCCTCGCACCGCTGACTGGAAACCTGTGTGCCCACGTTCTCAGCCTTCCATCTCGTTGCAAGGATGAGGCAGCCGCCACTCCTTTGAGTCCTGGCTCCCAACACTTCCCCTCCTGAAGCACTTCCCACCTGGCTGAGCCTCCTACACTCACCTCTGTCCTCCTGCCTCGGTCCCCTGCTTCCTTTGGTTCCAGGGCAAAGTGTCTGCTCATGGGCTCTTCCCTCCTCTCCCGCCACCCCCCTCAGGTGGAAAGCCCACCCACCCACAACCCGAGTCACAAATCCTACAGGCAGCTCTCTGGTCTCCTCCCTTTTCTTTCTCTCAACACACTGACTCTGGCCTTCTGGGTTTCGAAGCGCTGGCGGTGGAAGCCAAAGCTCGGCATGGCAGCCAAGTGCTCCTCTCCTCGCCCCGTTCTCATCCTGACTTCACCACCCACTCCTGACTGTCTCCCCCGCCCCTAGGCTGTGTCTCCTCAAGTCTCCAGAGGCGACTTCCTCCTCTTTCCTGCACCCTGAGCCCAGACTCACCCTCTTCTACTTTCAACAGCTTCAAGGATTTACCTATTCAGTCAACAAAAGGACCTCCAACTGCACATGTACTCTATGCTAAGTGCTACGCCACATGCTAGGAATACAACAGAATCTTCATCCCCACAGAGCGCGTTCTAGTATGGATATGCTGATGAACTCCTAAACCCATCTGCAGCCCCAACTGCTTCCTTCAGCTGCGAACCCCTGCAGCTGACTGCTTGGGTCCTGGCTATAGTCTGAAGGTTGCCCTTGTGCCCTCGTTGTGCTGTGACTGGCTTGGTATCTTCGCAGCACTACCGCTGTGAGGACAGCTCCTGCGTTTGGCTTTTGCCGTCTTGCCTTCGAGGCCTGTGCTACTCACTGCCTGATTCTCAGGTGCCAGGTATCTTGTAAAGTGAATACTCAGAAACTCTCTCGCCTCCCCTCAGTCCTCTGCGGTGGCACAGTCACTGCCACAGGAGTCCCTCCTTCAGATACTCACTTTAGCCCAGTCTGCTCAACTGCTCTCACCCTAGAAGCAGTTTTCCTTATTTTTACGAATTCAGGCAGCCCCCAGCCTGCAGGATTTGGCACTCTGATGAACACATCCCTGTGTAATTCCGCAACTTCATACTGCCCCCGCCAGGCTGCTCCAGACAGCAGGGGATTAGATGCGTGTCCTCAAGGCCTCCCTAGGAAGACCACTACTTCTGTGTTCTTCAGAGGAGTCCTCTGCAGAAGTACGGGAACACCCGCCAGGGAAAAGCAGCAGACACACATCACAGGGCTCTGCAAGGACAGACCTGCCACCACCCTGACCCTCACCCCTGCCCCTGCCCGAGGCCTTACTCACAGGAGTCTGTCTCAAATACACAGGGACAAATCCAGCCCGCTTCCAGAACCTGCAAACAGACAAGGAGAGTAAGTTGCCTGGGCCCTCCTCTGCAGAATGGCTGGGATACAGCAGGACTGGCCACACAGATAGCACCCCAGAAGCCTTCTTTTCAAGGCTAAGGGGCAATGCCAGGACAAGAGCAGGCACTTACTTAAGGAGCCGGGGGGTCAAGCCATAGGAAACGCCCAGGTAATCCAGGCGCTCCGCAGGCCTCTCATTCAACTTGAGGAGCAGGGGAGGCAGGTCCTTCCGGGGAGAGATGACCTCTTCCAACAAGCTGACAGCCTGGGGAGAGGAACAAGGAGGATACCAGGTTCTCAGAGGAGACTAGCTAGGGACAGTGACAGACAACCCTCCAGCCCACACAATGACAGGTTTCCTGGTTTGTTCCTATGGTTTCAAACAGAAGCTGGTTAAGCCGAGTGATCATCCCCAGGTGTTCCAAACATCCACACCTGCATGGACCACACACAGCCTTCAGGAAGGGACAGAGGCAGGGTTCAGAAGATCCAGCTCTGACTTTGCAAGATGACAAACCTGTGGCTGTCATTTTTAAAGCCCCTTCCCTAAGTCCCACAGGGAAATGCCATACAGATCAATGCATAAGTGAAAAGCTGGCACAGCCACTAGCACCAATCACGTTTAGCTAGGAAAAGACAGAACTTCCTGGAGTCTGTGTTCAGGGCTAACAAAGACACTACAGGCCACGTGTTCTCAAACCCGATCATGCATCAGGCACCTGGGAAGCAGGACCAGCGCCTGTGTGGCCTCCTGAGTTTTTGACTTACAGGGGACAGGCTCACAAGTTTGCATCTCTAACAAGTTTCCCAGTAGGTATTGTTCAGAGAAGCCCGGGTGCAATGTCAGGCTGGAGAAAACAGCTGCCTTCCCAAGGGGCAGGAGCTCAGGGCCCTGCCTAGTGCTCGGTGGAGCTCAAGACCCACAGACAATCCCCCGAGACCCAGGACAGGCAATGGCCAGCACACACTCACCTCGCTGCTTACGGTGCGTATTTCTTGTGATGCCTCGAGGACCTTTTCCTCCAGACACGGGAACCTGCCCTCGTAATACATCTGCAGCAGCTGTAGAGCTCGGCTGCCATAGCCCATCTGTGAGCAACAGAAGGACACAGGCTAAGGAGAGAGATGGTCTCATCTCCCTACACCACGTCTACTCCCTGTGTTACTCCTAGAACCTTCCCCATGCCTGGAACTTTACCCGCTTCACAATCAGCTTCTTATTCAAACTACCAAGCACACCTGCCCTGAAGAGCTGCCAGCAACACGACCAGAGTGGCATGGGATCACATTACCCCTTGGTAATCCGGGTGAACAGCAATGCGAACCACCCTTCCGCCAGAAAGGCCGCCGAAGTCTGGATCTTGGAACTGCGCACAAGACACAACCCAGAGATTAGCGACACAAACCACCTCTCACCGCAGCAGCTCTGCCCTCACGGACATGCCAGCGAGGCCTTTCACCTGTTCTGACACTGTCCATGGAATCAGGTCCCCTGAAGCCTTCTTGCCTCGCGATAGGCTGTTCAAGATGGACTGGCGTGAAATCTCTCCCTCCAGGCACACCTGAGGGGAAGGCAGGACAGTGGAGTCACAGCCAGCTCCAGTTTCTAAGTGTCCATGTCCACATTACCGTGGCTCTCTGAAGAGGCCAGGTGTTTCCACCCCCTAGTTCAGCTCTGAAACTGCTTAGTACAATTCTAACAGAGCCTTCATCACTAGGCTCCTTCTGGCCCAAAAAGTAAAATCCACCCAGAAGAGGGTCTCCATGGACTTGTGCATGTGCGTGCACCCACTCGCCAACTGTAAAGAATATAAATTTAAAATAACTCAAGTATTTAACAGGAAAATGGCAAAACAAACTATAGCAGATGTGTAGAATGAAACTGTATGTAGACTGAGACCTTCTGCCACACTGATTAAAAGAAAAGCAATTACCAAGTACCAAATACTATGATCTAAATTATGAAAAGAAAAAGTGATGCAGAAATACACATACATGTTGGGTATTAAAAATTTTCCCCCGATCTCTAGATTTAATTTTACAAGTACTACACGTTGCTTTTGTAATAAAGCAGGACACAAGTTCTGCCTGTCACCACCCATCAATAGCAGGGCTCTGAGTTACTGAGGGCAGTGGCTTCCTGCCACACACCAGCATTGCCTCCCTTGGTGTAACGGCCACTTGGTTCCTGGCCATGATTCAACTTCTTCTCCTCCCACAACAGTCGTCAAAAATGCCCCAAATCAATGCCTCAAGGATGCTTTTGATCTGTACCTGGACAACAGCGAGCACCTCGGGCAGGGCATTCTGGGTGGGGGGCACAGGAGGCAGAAGGCAGAAGAGGTGGTGAGCTGGTGCATCCGAAAGCATCTGGAGATCGTTGGGAGAGTTCTGCAGGGTACAAACGACAGTCAGTGGGAAATGCTCCTGCTTTGTCCTTTACTTAGGAGGCTACTGCAGAATGGTCTCCAAAGCCAAGTGAGGCAACAGAAGCCAGCAAAGTGCCTTTGCAGCACCGTGGCAAGTTCCAGACTCTTCTCAGTGGGTTGACTGAAACTGAGCCTCCAATGCCTACTGTCCTCCCAGCCCAGATGCCCACGGTGCAGGGGCAGTGCATTCAGCACACTTCTTATTTCCCAGCCGGGAAGGGGCCTGTCTCTAGGTAAGAGGCTAGAGGCTATTTCAAGAAAAGCTGCCAGCACATCAAACAGTCTGCACTGGAAAGCTGAAGAGTTAATCAAAATGCTACCTGGACAAAGCATCCTTCCCGAATTGCCCCATAGCTTCTAAGAGTTTCAAAGATTCTCAATCCTTTGGATTTGCTGCTCCTTAAGAACAGTTGAGCAGTATAAACCTGCTATTTGGTTTTGGGTCAAACAGTGCCACTGGGTTACAAGTACGATGGTGTCTGAGCCTATCGTTTTGGTAGGCAGGCGAGAATCACGGCACCCTTTAAGACCAGGCAAAGATTTCTATTATCTCCAGTGCCCACTCACAGAGCTACATGCAGAAATTCCAATGCACAGCTGGAAGGCCGAAAGGAGTCCCACAAACTATGCTGAGAAACACAACCCCTCAGCAAGATTCTGGACGTCAGCACATCAAGCCATTTAAGACCTGTGGAATGGTCCCTGAGCCACTGGGTAACGAAGGTTGTGAAAAGAGATGCTGAAGGATGCAAGGGTGCTTAAGCTACTTCCTGCCAGAGGTTACCCCGGGATTTAGCTGCAGGTACCTTGTAGTGAGAAGCCACATAGAGGGCCATGAGCCGCTGCAGGAAAACTTCAGAGGCCTTGTGGTAGCAAAACAGGGTATCTCGGTTCACATAGTAGCTGGTCTGGAGTTAAGCAACCAAACTGAACCAAACAGAACACTAAACAAACACACTGGAAGACATACAGATTCCCCTCATCTGGGGTAGGAGCCCTGTGTCCCCACCAGACGCACTGCAGAAAGAAGAGAAAGAAAATCAAGCGTGACAGAGAGGGCTCCATGTGCTCACTGTGGCACATGTGCCATAGGTTCGCCATCATGGTTCTATGCACTTATTTCTGAGACAGGGTCTATGTCCCCCAAGCTGCCCATAAATTCCCGGGGCTCCAGAAACTCTTCTGCCTCATCTTTGTCATTCAGCGAAGAGACTACGGCCACGTGCCACCATGTCCAGCGAGAATATTCAAGTGGTACCTTTCCCTAGAGAAAGGTCCTATGAGACAAAGCAGTGAGAGCTTCTTCATTTCTGTACACCCATCGCTTTCACAGGGTCAGGGAGAGCCAGAGGATACAGCTCACAGGCTTCAGGCAAGGGGCAGCCCGAGATGATCCGGGTAATGTTGAGGCAATCCAGGCACAGCAAGTCGGTCAGCCACTTCTCCACAGCATCCCCAGGGGCGTATCTGATTGACTCCTGGAGGGAAACCTCGTGTAGTGTTCTCGCTGTTCCCAAGAAACAACTGTTAATATGCATCCCTTAACACAGCAAGAAAGAAGGCTCTGCTTTATCATCTTCCCATGGTGCACAGACACAAGCTGCACAAGAATTTAATCTGGATGCTTTCACATTGTTCTTGGTGGGTATTTCCACTCGCCACGACACCAACCCCACAGTGATGCCACTAAATCAATGCAAAAGTACCCTGAGACAGGGACACAGAAGGGCCCAGCCACCAGAAAGCACAAGTCAAGTTCCCTACTGTCACTGAACTGTTCTCTCTCAGAAAACTACTTCACCACCTGGGGACTCAGCCTTTCTGTCTGACAGCAGGAAAGGTTAGAGCTACCCTTGAGGTATCAGAGGTAGCAGGGGTCTCTGGGTACCTGATGCCAGTCTGGCTGTCATCGTGGTCTTGTTCTCGGCAGTGGTGCTGACCTGGCTCTGGGCACTCTGCTGACGGAGCTGTTGAATTAGCTTCAGGGACAGTGACCGGCCAGTGCCCTCGTAGCTAGGAGAGAAACAAAGGCAATCAGGCATGAATTTCCCAAACACTTGCTGGATGGAAAATCTGCTCTTCTTGGAGATCCCAGCATAGCACATGCACAGCAAAGGAGAAGGTGACCTGGAGTTTGGTTGGGAGCCACTCATGGCTGGCTCAAGTCCTGGAATCCACTCAGCACCTCTGGGTCAGAAACTCAATCTTTAAGCCTCCATCTCTAAATGGGATTATTGCACCTTTCTTACCAGACTGGGCATGAATCAAAAAATAAAATAAAATAAAATAAAAAGAGCTGCAAAGATGATCTAAGAAGACTACAGCACAGTGAACCTTGACCAAAGTTAAACAGCTAACAGAAAAGAACTGAGAACATTTCCCATCGGGGAAATCACAATAAAAGAAATTCACCAAGTGACTCTTTGCATGACGACTTTTAACTTAAAAGGTGGTAGAATACAGCTAACTAAAATCTTGAGTTAAAAAAAAAACTAGGACTTCTGGGAGAACATGGCGGATAGATAACACCAGGTATGGAGGCTCTCTGAGATAGCCAGCTTAGAATCCAGGAATAGTGTGGCGTGGGGAGTCCTAAGCAGGGGGAGATACATCCTGCCGACCCAGGAACGAACTAAGCTGAGAAAAACCAACTGGAAATGCAATCCCAGTGCTACGACTTGAACACCGCACCTCTGGAAACCACGGTTTGAATTTCCTGCCACCGCTGCTGCACCTGAATCATCACAGCAGAAATAGAGACGCGAAAGCTCTGAGAGCGGGAATCCGCGAACCGAATTGAGAGCAATAGGCAATTCTTTAAGATAGCAAAAGGCATTATGGTAACCATTGTTGATCACTTTGTATTCTGTTTTTACATTATGTCCATCCTTTTGATTTGACTGACTCTGTTTTGTTATGTCACATTTGGTTTTATTCTCTTCAAAAAAAAAAAGTAATAAGAACTATGGAAGTAATAAAACCCAAAATGTGTAATTGTCATTGTAAAAAAGAGAGGAAAAAAAAGTGCTCTAAAGGATATAACTGCATGTATATTTAAGCGTATAAGATAGATAACCATATTACTGAGTTTTTGTTGGATCATTGAACAGAACTGTTTGCAGTCTCACTGTTTGAAAGTCCACTTTATATGCTTTAATTTTGTAACTTGAACAACTGTTTCTAAAATGACAATATGTCGTCTATTAACTGACATTTCCTATTGTTTATTTTTTTTTAAATTCTGTATAACTTGTATCCTTTTTCTTTTCTTTTTTCTTTTTTTTTTTTTTTTCTTTTTCTCCTTAAATAAAAAAAAAAAAACAAAAAAAAACAAAAAAAACAATCATTTATATGCTGGTCACTATACCAGTTCTCAGTTTTGAGCATTTCCTCCTTGTCTTTAGTCACAAGCATATGAGACCTTCACCAGATATTACCATTTTAATTCTTAGTACTACATTGTTTCAGAGCAGTCAGTGTATTTAAAGTAGTCACTAGTATATTGCACTTACTCAAATACTAATGTAACAAATGATCAAAAAGCTAGAATTTCAAAGTGTTTTGTTCCCCTTCCACACCCCACATAAAGTTCTTCCAAAGGAATTTCATTTACTATTTTTGGAGGATGGGGTGGTAGGGGGACCGTGATGAATATTTTTAAGTAACACAACTTAGAAGTCTTTCATACATCAAAGGATCCTTATAGCTTTTATCTAGATGTCCCCCCAAAGCCTCATGCACTCACAGGAGGGACTTTTTCACTGCTGGCTGGATTTAGAATGTGTGGTGCTGGGACTAAAGGTGTGTGATTACTAAACCAGCCCACGGATTGATTTGGCACCGGCCTTAAGCTAAGAAGCCTAGACACTAAGCACTAGATACTAAGAAGCCTAGACATATAGAAGGGGCAGAAAGCAACTGCTGTGGTACCTTGTGGCCCTTTGCCTTCTGCCTGCTGTGAACTGTTTCTCTTCTGTGATGCCTGTCTGCCATCTACCCTGCCTTGGAGCCGGCTAACTATGAACTGAAACCTCTACACACTGAGCTAAATAAACCTTTCTTCCTCTGACGCTGGCTGTCGAGTATTTTGTCACAGTAATGAGAAAGAGTAAGAGTATTAGCAAGAAAGTGGAAAACATCCACAATGAGAGGAAATTTTTGAAAATCACGTATCACATAAGGAAGGAACTTGTATCTAGAATATATAAACAAAATTTACAACTCAACGACAATCAGAAAAACAAGCAGAGAGTGCTCAACAGCATTAGTTATCTGGGAAAAGCAAAGGAAAGCCATGGGATAGCACTTCGCACCTACTGGAAAAGGTGGTCATCAAGACATAGCATGGATTGGCAAGGAGGCAGGGCAATCAGAATCCTCCAACAGCAGCGTGCCCCCCTCCATCTGCAGGGCACACATTCTAAGGTGCTCCACAGATGCTGAAGCCACACCTAGTGTATACACCATGTTTTTGTTTACCTTATAAATTAAGCACAGTAAGAGAAGCAACAAAATTGTAACAGTATGCTCTAATAAGTTTCTTGAAACTGACACATTATTTCTGTAACTTTCCATTAATGTATTTGGGCTGCAGCTGATCACAGGTAACTGAAACTGAGAAAAGGAACACTCGAAAGAAGGTGAACTACTGCAAACTCCTCATTCATAGAACTTAAAATGGTGCATGGAAGTCTCTCAGAGCTTCCTATATAGTTATGCACTGTTACCACTTAACCCAATAAATCCACACCTTTATATTCACAAGAGCTGAAAATAAGTACACACATAAGCCTGTATAAAAAGAAGCATTCTTCATAATGGCCAAAAGGTAGAAATAACCCATATCCTACCAAAAGATGAATGAAAAACCAGTACGTCAGTACAATGGAAATCACCTGGCCACACAAAGGAAAGAAATGCAGGTCGGGCGGGCGGACCTTGGTGGTGCTGTAGTAAGTGAAAGAAGCCAACCATAAAAGACCATGTTTTGTATAATGCTATGCATATGAAATGTGCAAAACAGGTGGATCTAGAGATAGAAGACTGGCAGCTTCCTAGGGCTGGGACTATGGACAACTTGGAGGATGACAAAACATATAGGGATTCTTTCAGGGGTGTTAAGAACATTCTAGAATTAACTGTGATAAGTGTGGTCGCACAATTCTGCATGTACTAAAAATGACTGAATGACCCAGCCTGTGCTTCTGAGTTTTTCTAATTTTCCCACAGCAAATTTGAGCTAAACGTCTCACATTTTTCAAAAAGCTATCATGCCATTATAAACCTGCTTTCTTATACTAACTAGTTACTTTACATTTTCACATAATTCTAATGTATACAACATGAGTACTGCTATCCATGTGCTTCTTGAAACTTGATTACATCTACAGATAGGAGACAAGTATCCTGTGGGTTCTGCTGGGAGTGGACAGTGTTTTGTTTGTCAGAAGTGGTGGCTGCTTTTGCCTTTCTTCAGCGTGCTAACTGAACCCAGGGCCCTATGCATGCTAGGAAAGCATCATACTCTGGGGCTACCCGCTCAGCACTGCGTCCCCAACTCTTCAGCCTTACACTGCCCGTTTAATTTCAGACCCACAGTGCGTGGCAGCTAAGAAGACAGCTGCTGCCTGAGAACCCTTCCTAAGCAATGAAGCGTCCTTGAAGACTCAGTTTGACAGGCCGAGCACACACTGCCCACGTGCCACTGATCTGCAAGAATCTGCGACAGGAGTAAGGACTCCGACCCAGCGGTCTTACCCATTGATGGTGGACGCCATGAAAACCAGGTAGGGCCCAAGGAGGCTCTTCACCAGAGGGAGAGGGATGGCAGCGGCTTCGTCAATCACAACAAGTTCAGCCTGGCCCAGCTTCACGGCATCCGCGGGATGTATGTACTGCAGGGAAGAACACTCAGGTGAGGAGCATGGCTGCCTAAAGCCACATCTGTGACTCGTAAGGCACTGTCCTCGGGTCTCTCCGTTCTGTGTGTTCTCTCATAGCCTCCACTCTGCTTCTGGCTAGCAGGGCAAGCACAGAATGGGCTTGGAGTCAGACACAAACATCAGTGCTAAAAATCAATGCCACCACTGAGTGTGGGACCCTGCACAGGTCATTTAGCCTCACAGGGCCCCAGTTCCTCTTCTGTACAACAGCAAAGCGCCCCACCCAATGCTCTGCTTATGATGTTGGCAGGTGGGGGCTGCCTTTTCTTTCCTGCTCCCATGTCATCTCAGGTGTGTCCCCAGCCTCAGATTAGGGAAACCAGCTCGGCTTAACTCCGTGATAGCCCTCCAGTCTCAAATGCTGTGTTCCCTGGCCTAAAGCCACGCATTACCCCAGCACTGGGGGGGGGGTCCCCCATATTCTCTTAATGCACACATATCCGCTTGTCTTAATGTACACAAGCAACCCCTCAAGTTATTTCAGGGCTTCCTGACATCTTAAAAGTGATTCTAAAAAGGCCAGGAAGAAATCTAAAAGAGAGAAAACATGAATAGCCAATTAACAGAATCAAAGTTAATTGAACCATGAATAATCAGTGAAACACTAAATACAAGGAGATCCCATTTCACAGGCAAACTGCTGTAGGGCACCCAGCACTGAAGATTCAGGGAAACAAAAACTCAAGAGGACTGCCAGTATGAAGCAACACAGACAGCTTAGAAAGAGAAGCACAAAAATCCAACAAAGCTGGAAAACCCAACAACCCCGTTTCTAGAAACAAAAGTTCTCTTTTATTCATGAGGTGTTTAAAAATGAAATCATCCAGACATATATGCTTTCACCTGAGCAAATTTTAAAAACAGATTTGCAAAGAAAAAGAGGGGGGAGCTGACGGAGGGTTAGTGTGTTACTATTTATGGACAACAGTGATACAACTGACAGGAAGCCTCAAGTTCAGAGTCAGGAGCAACCTACAGGGAATGACAGAGGGCAGGGAGGGATACGAGACTTCAACTGCATCTGTGAGGTTTTCCTTCTCTCAAACAAAACCATAAATGACTTCTAAACATGAAACACAGCAAACACATACGTCCACATCTCTTAAACTGAGTGCCAGGCGTCTGAGCACTGCTGGCCCCTGAACTTTCCTTCGAGAAGCAAGTGTGTCATCACGAATCACGCTGCCGGCTTTGAAGCTGACAGGTCAGAGGGCTGCAGCTCTGCTCACTGCCTGAGGGTAGGGGAAGCTGCCCCAGCTGTAAGGACTAGCCGTCCTCCTGGGGACAGGCCTCGGAGGAGCGTAAATAGAGCCTCATGAAGCCAGGTCACCTCCTCCGCGTGTTTAGTCTGGTAACGAGAAGACTGGTAATGTGAGAGGATACCTGACTACAAATTCACAGGGAACAAGGGCAGAGCCAGAGAACTGCGGGGAAATGTTTTCCTTCTTTCATTTGTGGATCTTTCTTGAGTTTTAACAGGTCTCTCTGTCTCACAGCCGGCAGCCCAGCCCCCATTCCTGCGTGGACCAACATCAGTCTTTTCTCCTTTCAGCTGAGGAAATCGGACAAGAGCGAGAAGACGTGAAGAATGAGACTACAAAGGGACCCAGTTTAAAGAAAAAAATTAAGATCCTTAAGGTAAAAGGCACAGCCACTTGTTTATTCCCCGCATTCTTTGATAAAGGGTACACCCGTGACAGGCGGAGAGTTCAAGGACATGCTGCCAAGTTCCCCTGGCTCACTTCCCGCCCAATCCAACTCCAAGACCAATCACTGAGCCCACTCCAGTAAGAGCCTGTTTGTCTCGGTCACTTCCAGAAACCTGTCACATGATGCCTCTGAAGAGATTTAACAAAACTGCAACCTTTGGACAAGTGCAGAATACTTGGGCTTAGAGTTCTGGAGATTTATGGAGCTTCCAGGGAAAATGCTATTTCAAAAGGAAAATAGGCCACTGGCTAACCCACAAACACTCAGAGCACATTTTGCAAAGTTCTTTTTTTCTTTTAAATGCAGAGGTTATTGTTGTAGTTACAGATGCACCATTTCAAAACCTGTGATGACTAAGAAAAATTAGAACTGATGTAGGAGCGATTTTTTTTTTGCTCACTGGCAGACTCCAAACCCAGTAATTCCATACTTAAGAGATAAAACTACTGTTTCAGTCAAGACTACATACATTTGTTTCACTTTCTTTCAGAAAACCAAAAATGTGGAACAGTGTTCTCATATACCATCACCGTGGTCTGAAGAACACAGAATTAGAATCTAGGGTACAAAGAGGAAACCGGGCCAGAGACACACAGCAGGACACTGAAGCCCAGCGCCAGGGCAGAGAACATGCCTCACCTGAATGGTCTGCCTGTGCTCCCGGAAGACATTCACTCTGATCACTGCCTTATTAAACTCCGGGTTTAGAGACTGAATAATCTCATAATCCAGGTGCTCCTGGTGGGGAAAATGGCAAGCCGATGACAAGCTTTAGAAGCCCTGTATTAATAAGCATTCCAAAGACCAGCTGGATTTAACCCAGCACTAAAAAACCAAAAGAAATTCTAATTCCCTACCTGATACTCCAGAGCATCAAATCCTTTAAATACAAATTCAAACAGAGTGTGGAGGTTATCGGGGCTTGGGGAGGTAACAAAAATATTGGAGTACCTATAGGATAAGAGAAAAGGGGACAGTTAAGAAATTAGAACATGTTAAAGAAACCTAGTAAAATATAGTTTTCCTTCCAAAACAAGGATAACAATAACCAAGTGTCATGAGCCAGTCCCAGCATTTAACTACCAATATCTGCGACAGCTCAGTGCTGGAAGGTACTTGCAGGGACAACAGAGGCAGCACACTGCCCCCTGTGCAGTGTCCTGACCAGAGGAACAGCCTCCCACTTGTCAGGAATGTACTGAGGTTTCCAGCTGTCCAGTAGAAACCCTCAGTGCTCAACCAGTCTTCAGGCCAAGCCTTTGGGCACCTCCAGGACCCTTGCTAGGTGCAAAGGATACTTGAGACTAAGGGCATGAGTTCAGCTGGGGCAGCAGAAGGGACAGGGGCTAGGAATCATGAGCTGTGTTCAAGCCCCAGCTCTGCCAGCAGTGATCGCAGGGGAATCTTGGGTAAGTCACCAGCAGTCCCTGGCCTCAGTTTATCTACCTGTAACATGGCCAAAGAGCTGAAAGGAGAACCAAGGAAAGGTAACGCACACAGGAAAACACAGCAAATTCTAGCCTGCTGTATGTCTGCAAAGCTGGAGGGTGCACTCACTAGGCAGCTGCCTAAATCTCTGGCCCAGAGGCAAAAAACAAAGTAATGGCACATCTGAAAGCAGCTCCTAGGGAAGGCACAAGATCTCCTATTGAAGAAGATCACTGAGGTTGCAGAGTCAGCAACGCTGCTCATACACATCCTCATGCGTTTTCATATTTCTTACCCCATTTCTTTGCTTCTACATTTATTCAACAATAAACAGTGAATATAAAGCCACGGGGTCTGTGTGCACACACACACGCTGCACCCATGGGTGCCTGAGGGAACCAGTGCTGCTGTTCCCAGGTAGGCACCAAGACCTAGAGAAATGTCAGTGAACTGGCTCACAATGAGGAACCTGAGGACAGTTCTGCTGGTCTCTTAACCCCAAATCCTGCCCGCTCGCTTCTCAGAGCCCAGAGTTCTTAAAAATGGGAAACAAACCAGGCATGCTCAGGAGGCTGCATGGCAGGACTGCTATGAGTTTGAACTCAACCTGTGCTACACAGTAAAAGGCCAGCCTGAACTACATCGCAAGACCCTGTCTCAAAGAAATAAAGGTGGGAAATCGGAGCCCGTTACCCAAATGCCACTGCCCCAGCAATAGCCAATCCCATGGCTGCAGACTTTCCCCGTCCTCGGGCAGCAGTGAGTGCAACGGTACTCCTCAGGGTCTTCTCTGAGATCCCCTCGATGAATTTCAAGACAGCTTTGGCCTGTGCAGAGAGAAACGTATCAATTAACCAGCCCAGCAACTTACTAAGACCACTGGACAGGTCAGGCTGGCGCCAAGGGGAACAAACAGAAGCCATCCTCACGGGCCAGAAAGTACCACTCACATCAGGGCTTCTGCTTCCTTGGACATCACTCATCTCAGTGCCAACACCTTAAGTTTTATCAACGGGACATCAGAGCGCTCAGAACATCTCCCCTCCAGAGCCCTTTCCCACACACCAGACGCGGTGCATACATCCGTCTCATACATCCGTCTCCTGTACAGCTGTGTCGCACGACACACAACTGCAACTTAAACCTCACCCCCCATGCACCCAGCTCCATACCTCCCCTCTTCCCCGCCTCAGGTAAGGGTCCACTGTCCAGATCACAAGTGCCCTCAATTTTCTCCTCCATTCCTGTTTCATCACAAACCCTAGGGGTGACACCTTCAAAACAGAGTCCTCCCCACTTTCCTCCACCTCTGCTCACAGCCACCATCCTGTCCTGCCACCACTATGGTGTAACAGCAGCTGCTTAACCGGCCTCCCTGCTTCCACTCGAATCCTCACAGCCTGTTATCTGCTCGGTTGTCAGAGGATCCTGTTATAAGCAAGCCTGGGTATGCTTTAGGCACTGAGCCAAGACCACACATACAACCCTCAGGTGCAACTCCCAGAGCCCTTCCAGGGCAGCCCCTCTACTGTCTCCACCCCTTTCCCATGCCTCTGCCTGGTGGCCTCACTGCTGCCCCAGGAGCACCTGAGAGCTGCAGTCCGCCTCGATTGCCACACCCGCTGATCCTTCTGCTGAAATAGCTGGTGATTACAGTTCCAGAAGGAAAAGGGAAGCAGCCTGGAGGGACTCAGTGCTGTGTGAGCAGTGTCACCATGGCTGTTTTCCAGCAGGAGCCCTGTGGCACTCATGAGCTCACCAGAACCCAAACATGGCTGGCAGCTTGAAAGCCTCTGGGCCTTGCAGCCAGGTTAGCAATCACCAGTCCAGACAGCACCGAGCTGGCCGCCTTGGCAGGCCCAGAATATAGCTGAGCAGCTCCCGCCAGCCTGCTATCCATGTCCATGGCCCAGGGTCATAGCAGCAGGGCCCTCCCTGGAAGGGGCTCAGGAACACAGGGCTGCAAGCTCTCCTCTTGCACTTACATAAGCCAGCTCTAAGCAAAAAACGTGTACGTCACCACAGCATAATGAACTGAGGAACAGGCATATCACCCTTACATGGAAAAAACAGGAAGGCGTTTCCCCTTTAGGTATAATCCAGCCATCTCTCTGAACTGGCTCCCCTTGCAAGCAGAGAGATCTTCTGGCCTTGATGCACTCTGACTTTGCTGCCATTGCTTCCTGCATGCTGTCTCACCCTTGTGTTGTCCCCCACACTTGCCCAGGCTGGTGACCTGCTGCACCCACACTCACCTGGTCCAGAGTCTTGCAGCAGTCCACCAACACGCCCACAGGCTGGGTGTCCTGCAAGCTCTCTTTCAACTCCTGCAGCTCCAGAGAGGATGGACTAAGATTCTCATCCTGCCACAGAGAAGAGGTTTGCCATGGTCACAGGCGTTCCCTAGGAAGTCCCAGCCCACCTCAGATCCCTGGCCTTGGACCCACTCTCACCGGAGCCTGGGGAGGGAGGGCCTCGATGCTGGCCGCATGGGAGGAGACGGGCAGGATGTTGAGCTGGTCATCGATGACAAGACACTTCTTACAAGATGCCAGAGACAGGATAAACCTGAGGGAATACCTCTACAGTGAGTTGTCAGGCAGGGCAGGCAGTGTCTGCACAAGAGTGCAGAAGGAAAGGGGCTCTTCTTCAGGACCATCATTTAGCCTATGTGTCTCTAAGAAAACTGGAGCAAGCCAGGACCAGCCTAAGGTCCGAGAGATGACAGCCTCTTCCAAGGCACCTGAACCATCTTCAGATAGCAGTCAGGAAAAGCTCTCCAGCACACCACTGCCACTGCTCTGTGGGCTCCCCAGCCTCAAGAACTCTTCAGCATGAAGGGGATTAACTGTAAACCTAAGCTACAGATGGTTACCGGTCACACAGGGAATCTTACACAGAATCACAAATGAGTTTACCTTCTGTCACAAAAAAGGGAAAAAGCAAGAGAAACAAGGGGAGAAGAAAAGTTTCCTGAAGGAACACAACCAAAGTTCTTGCATCTAGAGAAACATCAACTGGCTACGCCACAATTTAAACACCCACCCCACAGTGCAAGGAAAGGGCCTGTCCACGTCCACAGCGGTGGTTCAGTCCGCAGCACACAGCTGCTCCTCCTGCCCTCCTCATTCTGCAAGCCGAAGTATCACGTGCTGTTAAAGTCAGAAAGGCCCCTGGGTTCTCTAAAGCTAAGGTTTCTAAACCTCAGCACCACTGACACTTTGGACCAGGTAATTCTTTTTAGCAGCTCTCCTGGCTTCTATGTGCTCAGCTACTAGCTGCCTCCCCAAGCACCTCTAAAAGTCACAACACCCAAACTGTCTCCCAACATCACCAAGCATCCCAATCACAAAAGCACTCTGGTTCACCGTGAGAACCCCAGATACAGCCTCAGGTTCCCAGGAGGTTTCCCAGGCTGCTAACTGGTGATCCCTTAAAAAGGACTCTGCAGTGAAATAAAGTTAGTAAATAATCTGTTAAACAGATGTCAGCTGCTGAAAACTTGTCAGAGACAACAACAGGCTAATGGGACTCTTCATAAAAGACAAGCAGTGTCAGCATCTCCCAAGCACATCTGTCCTATCAACCCTCTCTTCACAGGTCCCTCTTGAAGGAGCAGTATGCTGGGAAAACCTCTGAGGGAACAGTAACCCCGGGTACTCAGCCCTTATGAATAAGCTAAAAGCCAGGAAAGGGCAGGGACTTAGCAAAGGGCACCAGTGAGTTTCACAGCTGGCTGCTGTCAAGAGCCTCACCCTCTGGGAGCCTGCAGGACCTCCCCTACTACAAAGGTAAAGGTTTTAGCTGGGTCTAAGATAAAAAAATCTCACTACAGCTCAGCAAAGAGGGTAAGGAATGAGAAATGGCCAACAGAGGTACCTCTCATTAAATCTTCCCACCACATCCTGATGGGCCTCAGTCCTGTATCTGGAATGCACGTCCTAAGAAAACAAGACAACATCCATTAATACAGGAATCCAAATAGTGCTGTGACCCAAAATTCAAACACAGAATCTGTTCAAGGAGCTGCCAGTAATCCTGCAGGAAACAAAATCCATTCCTACCTGCAGCGCTGAACTGGCCATATCCTCTCCTCTGAAACTAGGATCGGACAGCAGATGTAGTTTCTTGCCCCAATAAACTTCCCCTTACTCCATCTTTGACATTTTCCACATTTTATCCAGCATCCTAACTCAGTGGAATGCATGTGCTAAGTAGCGTATAACACATGATGGTTATCCTTTGGGTCAAGAATGCCTCCCAGATGGCAGGAGGATTGCCTCAAGTTCAAAGCCAGCCTGGGGTACATAGTGAGGTTTTTTTTGTTTTGTTTTGTTTTGTTTTTTCAAAACTGTTAACTATCAGCTTTATTTTAAAAATATAAATATTTGACATGTACAACTTAAAATTGTTGATTTTTGAAATCCCACACAGAATGTAACAGAGAAATCCACAGCAAGTTAATCATTCAGACTGCCAGTTCCATCCACTAATTTAACACTACAGTTTTCAAGAAAAATTAAAGATTTAACGTTAACAGCAATGAAGAAACAACAATCATTTGCAACATGCTGCTATATAATTAGAATAACCAGTCTATGGGTTACTGAAACGAACAATTCCAACAGCAAATTTAGAACTTCCTTAAAACAAAAACAAATCCAAGACTCTGAATTGATGCAAATACTCTGTATTTGAGAAAAAACACTCTTCTTGTGAACTTTAACCCACAGCCAAATGTCCTCATGGTTTACAGAGGGATCCGCTCTCGCTCTGTGATTTCAGTCATGCTCTCAGCCTGGGGAGGAATGGAACTCCAGGTTGGGATGACCTGTCAAATGCCAGGGACAATGACACCCGTTTTTGGGGAAACAGAGTTACGTATTAGAATTACAGGAATAAAGAGGAAAAATTTGAAGTTAAAATAGGTTTTCCAAAATAAATGCATTACTGCTTCACGGTAGCTTACATTTCTGTAACAAGGTCCAGTGTGAAAAACTCACATAATGAGAATTTGGAGAGCTGAGACATGCTTTTCTTGCTGAATACATTTGCAGTATATACCTTTGCATTTCGTTCAGGGCTACTACTACATTGCAGGAGCTTTAGAAATGCTGGTCATTTTTTTTAAAGTATAACTATGTCTCGTTTCTAAGTTTCAGTTATAATACTTGACCAGGAAAAAGTTCATGAACATTGTACTGACTTTCAGGTTTCACATCTTATTCTTGAAAAAAACAAGACAACTCTGAACATTTTTTCAAAATTCTTTTACAGAAGTTAAGACTTTTTTAGATGAACTAAACAGACAATAGTGAAGTTAAAGGGAAAGCCAAAACACTGCTGCCCACCTGAATGAAGTGGGAGGAAAACTTAAAATGGTCTGCTATGGAGTGCAAGGCCAACAGGACTCAGAGGTTACTGGAGAGGGTGTCTCACTAAGTAAACGATGAAATATGTCTGCCCACTTCAAACTCTTCTTAAATCATGAGTGGGACTCAGTTTAGGGAAATAGTTTAATGTACCCTTCAGAAAAAAATAGTTTATATTTTCCCATTACAAACAAAACACTGGTTATGACATCCAACACCACGAAGCAACCTTCATTCTGTCCCATACAGCAGAAAGCAAATCCAAGACGGGGTGCACATGCAAGATACTGAACTTGTAGTCCTTGTTCACTTCGCCACCGTTGTAGTAATCTATCACGTATCTAACTTCCGTCCCGCAGCGGTTGGTGATCCAATCATGCCTGTCGAAAGGCAACTTGTACCCCATCCAGGAACAAATTCTGGCCCTTGGTAAATACTGCTTTGCTTTCCCTCCGACCTCGATCAACGAGGGACCACAAGGACACTCCGCAGCATGAAGGGCTTCCCACTTCAAAATCTCCTTCAGGCTTGCTCATTATTCTGATTGTGAATCTTACTGATATAATACACACCTTTCTGACTAATGTCCTCATCCATCCACCTCCACCCTTTCCTTAGCTGCATTCCAGGACATCCGTTCCGAAGGGTAGACCCACTTTTTCTCAGAGCATGCTCTTGGAATGGAGGATTCCTCTCTGACCATAGACAACGCAAATGGCTGATCTGGGGCTGGTGTTGACTAGGTGGTGGCATCAGATCTGAAGGACCCAGGTTCTCCTTATCGGCCCTGGCATGGGTAAAGGGGCACTCCACATACTCGTACGCTCGATCCTGCTGGGCAGGGGAGTAAGTTTTGCTGTCACTAGTTGGACTGGATGGTTCCTCACTTACTGGACAGCCTTGACTCTTCCTTTCATGCACTGGGCATCCTGAAGGTGGTGATGCTGTCTGATGATCTGAAGCTTTTGGGGTCTGAACTGCAACAGCAGGAGTAGATGCTGACAAACCCATGGCTGGAATCAAAGTGTTGACTCCAAACAATTTTAAATGTCCAGCGCCAGCCCCAGTCAGAGACCAAGGAGCAACCACTGCCTGCCACTGTCTTCACCTCACCGGGTCACCGCTGTCGCGGCAGTCCAATACATAGTGAGTTTAAAGTAATCCTGAACTACACAGTAAGACCTGGCCTCAAAAAAAACAAAAAACAGTGCCCCTCAAAGGCCTCGTGCACTGGTAAGATTTTAGAAGCTGACTGTTCCATTAGGTAACGGGCCTGATTAGAAGAGGCAAATCTCTGGGGTAGGAGCCAGACAGGTCTCTCTTTCCCCAGCCCTTCCCTTCACTGCTTCCTGGCCACCACGACCTGAGCAGCTCTGCTTCACCAGACCCATCTGCCATGCCTTCCTGTCCTGCAACCACACTAAACATGGCTTAGAAACTCCTCCTTCTAAGTTGCGGATGTCAGATATTGTGTACCAGGACGAAAGACTGAGTAAGACCCTGGGTATCCCCTGGGTATCCCCTGGTGAACAAAGCACAGCTCCTGTTCTTGTGGAGCTGATACACAGTCCGCGAGCTGAAGGAAGACAAATCAGTAAACAAATGCAAATTCTGGCAAACACTACAAAGGAAACACACAGTGCAGTGATAGCAAGTAAGGGCTTCCATAAACAGCGAGATCAAAATGATAAGCCAACAGCCATGCAACAGAGGGAGGAAAAATGCACGCTGATGTGAACACAGAGTCTTTCATTTATTTGTAATATTATCCAGTAAGTACTTACTAAACACTACACATGGGGCACTCGCCTCAGAATTAGGAATACATCTTTAAGAAAAACCAAGTCCCTGTTCCTATGAAGTTCTAAGACTAGTACGGGAAGACAGATTTATAACTTTTATTGTTGTCAAGTACTTTCAAGAAAAATAAAGTAGGTTAAGAGCAACAGATGGCGCCACCTGTTCCAACGAAAGAGTAAAGAAGACCACACTGATAGGGGACGCTGGCAATAGGGATTTAAATGCAATGAGGGAGCAAGTCATGTTGATATCCAAAATAAGAAATTCCAATGGGAACAGCAAGTGCAAAGGCCCTGGGGTGAGACTGTGCTGGATATAACTGAAGAGGCCAAGAGGGCTGAAGGCGGTGACAAGAAGCACCCCAAGATTTGAGAAAAGCACATCTCACCTCAGCCAAAGTGGCTTTGGTTTGGGGAGGAAACTACCTTTCCATAAACACTATAGCCCAAACCCTTGCCAAACTGGGAGGGAGTGGCAAATATCCCTTCATCGTCCACTGGGATGAGGGCCAGCAAACAAGCCTGCACACAGTCCTTGTTCGGCAAAACTCAAATTAGGCCTCTGCAGAAAACCACTCCAAAACTCCAAGACCACAAAAGCTGCATGTCACCTCTGTCAAACTGACAAATACCTGAAAAGGTGAGTGAAATTCAGACTCCTAGGCATACTCAGAGCCTGAGATTCCTCTGCAGTGACTTTTTATCAGCTGCAAGAACTCCCAGGCCAGAGACTGCACTGGCCACTCCTGGAGCTACTTGTGCAACAGGAAATCTTCCAAAGAAAGCACACGGCAGCAAAAACAGACTGACCCAAACCCCACAAAAGATTAAAATAAAAAAGGGCTGGGGGCAAAGACTTACCATGGTCATCGTGTACAACTGCTTGAGCGAGTTCATGGTCCGCAGGAGGATAACCACCAGCCCCCCACCTTCCACTGTTTCCACAGTCCTGGCCAGCAAGTTGGGGGTTAAGGCTTCAAAATCCTAGAAGAAGGAGACCTTAGAAGAAGAGCACTATTTGCTTGACATGCAAACAGCACTCCTAGGGATGCTTAACCAAGTGTAAGATGATAAGGTAAAGAAAAGGCTTCAAGCCCAGTGTGGTGGTACAGGCACACACCTGTGATCCCAGCCCGTGAGGGAGGCTGAGATAGGACTGCAGGTTTGAGGCCACCAAGGCTACAGTGAAACTGTCTCAAAACAAAAAATAAACAGGGGGAAAGGCAGATGGCCTAGGAGCACAAACCCAAAACCCACCCGACCTCCAAATTTCAATAAATCATAGCTGGATTTCAGAAGCATCTCCCATTCACAGGCAGAACCCAATTGTGCCACATGGGGGAGCCACTGAGAAAAGCCTCAGGTCCAGCAACTGGTAATGGCTGTGGACAGAATGCTCTACCAGAGAGTGATCAAACTGAGGATCCCCACGAAAATTGAGAATAAGCAAAATACTCCCTTCTCTGGCCTCCAAGGTGGGATGTAAGGCAGCAGAGCATCAGCCAACTCACTGAAACGCAGAAAGAAAACACGAGAGCCTCTACTCTTGATTTCCCACCTAACTTCATTTGTATTTTGTGATTTTTTTTTATATTACATAATCGTGGTCACAGTACGTGAATGTAATAAATACACTTAGAAAAGTGAATCTATGCATAAACTTTGGAGACCTTTTTTTCTTCTTGGGGTGAGGGGTGTCACATATACCAAAAAATAATAATAAAAGACTAATACAAAGACTACCAGAACAAATGTAAACATAGAAAAAAACTTAAGTCTAGTGGTTTGCCCAGCCAGAGAATACACATTAGTGGTGATATCCACCCAGCACTTCTAGAAGAGAAGTGAAGGGTTTTCAAGGGCTAGAAAGGCAGTGGAGCCTCGTGGCCTTCGGCTGCTCAAGCACTCTGGATCAGGTCATACCACTCAGGGACCACAGGAAAGTCTTCTGCGAACGGCAGTGAGTACCTGGGGTTCCAGGATTCCCACAGCCCACTTTCCCAGATTCAGCTTTAGCTGGTTACAACAGCTTAGGTGGGTCTGTTCTCTATTTCTAAAACAGGTACTGCTGCAAGCAGAAAATTCTTTTGTATAGGTTCAGGGATCCAGCTTCCTTTGGAGAGGCCAAATCTTCCACTAATGATGACCAGGGGCCGGGGGTTCCCTGCAAATCTTCCTTCCTGACTGCACGCTGTTTCCCGTAGGGAAGCAGGGCGCCCAGACCCCGCCTAACACCCAGGCTGGAGGAAGTCACCCACCTGGAGGACACACATGCCGAAGGTGTTGCCCAAGATCTTGTGGGTCTCATTGTAGTAACAATAGCGGATGTTTGTGGCCGCTATGAAGAGTTCGAAGGGATCATCTTGCTTTATGTTCAGGGTCCCATTCTTTATTTTCTTCTGCAGCTGTCGCATTCTCTTCTTTCGATGACTGCAATCACACCCACGCGATGAGTGTCAGTTCACCAGAGAGGCCCACTGATCCCCCTCTCCGACCTGAAAAGCCACTAGGGAACTTGCAAAGCAGGCACCCGGCTCCCCACTTTAGAGGGAAAAGGAGGTAGAGAGACAGTTTTGGGGACAGAGCAAACTGTGTGTGTGAACAATTCTCCACTTTGCTCTGTGACCTGGAAGAGATGCTTCACTTTAAAAGATGGGCAGTGGGAGGTGCTAACCTTCTCAGGAAGCCAAAGCCAGAAGCTGTAACCAAGCCGAGGAGGCCTAGTTACCTTATCAATGCTTCAGCTACATTGTGCTGCCCCCCAGAGGGCATAGAAAAGAGCTGACAGGCTACTGTGTTGATGTTTCGCCAGAGCCTGGGACCAATCCTAAGGACAGCATTCATCTAAGAGGACTAACACACAAGACATAAAGTATGAAATGCAAGGGTGTACCTCTCAGAAATCCCAGAACTACTGTTGGTCCTATAAGCCCTGAATATCCAACTGCTATTTTTTTCTTTTACAAAAACAGAGAGCAGGAGAGCTCTAGGACAGGGAGAATTTTGCAAAGGTCTCTAAATTAATAGCTAGAACCAAGGGCCTTTCTCCTATAGGCCTTTACTTCAGTGAACGAAGGCTATCCCCACTATTCCTTCTGGTTTTGAGACAGAGCAAGCTATGTAGTCCAGGCTGGCCTTGAACTCACTACACAGCCAGGACTGGACTCCAATTCATGGGAATCTTCCTGCCTCAGGCTCCCCAGTGCTGGGCTGCAGGTGTGCAGGACCACATCCAGCCTCCACTGTTCCCTGTGGCTCATGATTTACAAGGAAGCTTTGGCTCAAACAGGACACTGCCAGATCAAGGGTGGGAGAGCCACAAGAGGTACCATCAGGGACCCAAAAGTAAAAGCAGGTGGGATCAATTTAAAAGGCAAATCTGCCCAAAAAACTGTGAACTGCCTCGTATTTAATGGACGGAATATACTGAGAATCAGAAGCCCTCAAAATGAAATTCTAAGGCAGGCATGAACGCAGCAGCCTTTCAGCTCTACGGTAAGACGGTGTGGGGGATAGAGGTATGGCTCAGGGGTGCAGCGGAATGAGGCACTGGCTTCCATCACCAGCACCCAAAAACACAAATACAGATGCTCACTGTCCAAGAGTATTAAAGTGTATGTACAGCAAAATACCAATTACGGTTTAAACATTATACCAGTGAAATTTATCTAAATGCTGACAACACCTATATGGTAAGGTTATGGATGCTTTCTATTTTCATCTTTGCATTTTTCACATTTCCTACAATGAGACTCCTAACTTTTTTTCAAAGCCAAATTATTTACTCAAAATCTGGTTTCTTTTAGGCAGAATCAAGTTTTTTAATTAAAATAATTTAGAAACATTAACAATAAACTTAGCAGAGCCAGATGTGGTGGCACACACCTGTAATCACAGCACGTGGGAGGCTGAAGCAGGAGGATCGTTGTGCATTCAAGTCCAGGATGGGCCACATAGCAAGTTCAAGACCCGCCTGAACTGCAGAGTGAGACCCTCTCTCAAAAAACAAAAAGAAAAAAAAAACCTCAGCAAGTGTTAACCGAGTACCTACCACAAACAGATCATTTAAAAGTAAGTAAATATGACTCCTAACCAAATGAGCTTATCACTCAGAATACACAAGGCACAGTATGTGGCTGTATCCCCAAGCAAGAGCATCCGCGACAAACACTCTAATAGGAGGACAAGATGGCAAAGGAGCCATCAGGCATGACTGAGGTGCTTGGGAAAAGCTCCACGCAGAAGGCAGGCCCTGAAATCAGGAGGACTTCAGTATAGGATGGCAGGGGAGGACAGCATGTGCTAACAGCCGGGGTGTCGGTCACAGTGCGGTGCAGGCCACCGCAGACAAGATACACGCGTTAACACCAAAGATGAACACTCCAGGGGCAAAAAGGCTCACCGACTGCATCACATCTGTGCTAGGTCTAGGGAAGGAGACAAAAGAACTCAGGAGCGTGGCATCAGGAAGCACAGAACAGGCAGCCTTCCAAGAAACAGCACTGCCCACTTCACCCCAAACTCCTACAACATCAAGGAAAGGAGACTGCCAGGTACCACAGTGTGTTTGCCCGTCACTGCATGACGCCCCATCTCCTCGGCATCTTTCCACAAGAATTTTGGGAGTCAGCCTGACAGTCACACGGCTGGAGTTGAAGCATGTACAGTTCCAGTTGTTTCTGGCAGAACAGGAGAAAACAGAAAGCTGACCCACAGTGGAAGAGCACAGAGTAGATACATGGAGTTGAGAGGCTCAGATCACTGAGCAAGTGGAAATCTTGGCGCCTCAGGCTCCTTGAACTGTCCCATGGACTCCCACACATTCCCTAGAGTTAAGCGGATTTGTGCTGGAGGTTTGCTGCTTACAGCTGGAACCCTTATCAATGCTTCAGAGAATAAGAACAGCCAGCTGCCAAATACGAACTGGCAGAAGTGCTCTAAAAAGGAAAAGGAGGGTGGAAGACCTCTGCACTAGGCACGGGGTCTCCAGGGAACCCTTTGAGCACATTTTGGTCAACAGCAGCCAGACTGAAGCAAGTACAAAGGGCTAGCAAGAGGCTAGCAAGTACAAAGGGCTCTAATTTAACTTAGATGGCTGTAAAAAGGAGGGCCAACGCTACCCTGGAGAAAGAACTAGGGATGTAGCTAATGAGCTCCTAAGAATTCAGAAAGCTGAGCACATCTATAGGAAAAAGGAGAAAATTTTAAAGGGTATACAGAGCTGAGCAGAAGAAAAACAATAAAGGTCCTGAAATAAGAGAACAGACCCAAGGTAGAGAGAGGATTTTCCTTGGACACAGAATAAGGTGCATCCCCTTTGTGAAGGGCAAAAAGAGAAGAGTATGTCTGGGGCCGGGAAAGGCACCTGAAGGAACTTGCTTTAGATGCTCTGGTCAGCTGAGGCAGTGGTGGCAAACCTATGGCACAGTGCCACCGCCGGCTATATGTGATCATTAAAGGGTTCGCCATCACTGGCTTAGAGAAACAAACAAAGAAATCAGAAAGCAAGAGTAAAAATTATTTAAAGCTTACTGTCAGAAATAAAGAAAGGATATTGGTTCCATTTTTTTTACACTTTGAAATGTACTCAGAAACGACATCCTCACCTCCTGAAAAACTGTGCCGAGGGATTGGAAGTTGGATGGGACACACTCGGGCCAAGCTTACCTGCTAAACCCCAGCTCTTTCTTATAACACCACAGCACTGAAGGTCGAGCCTTCACAGTTGCTTTGGACAGCATGTGATGGAGTATTACCACCTGCCAAAGGAAAACATCACAGACACTCAGGGCCAAGAGCCCAGACCCACAACCTCATCTGACAAGTACAGAAATGTAACTGACGGCTAGAGAAGGCAGACACACAAGATCACATAGCGGGGGAACCCACCACCTCCAGGGTTCACAAGGGAATGGCTTGTCTGCTAATGGATCTATGTCTAGAGAATTTACCATTTCCAGGAAATGACGAAAGGCATCTTATCACAATCTGCAGGACCTAGAACAGGTTGACTCTCTGGGACAGGAGACACAGTAACTCAGGAAGCATTTCCCCAGGACTCACCTGATCTTTTCCTCGATCCCCAACCACGACAAAAAGAGACCTTTGCCTCTCAGCTACCCCATTCTCAATGAGAATCCGGATTCGGTTATCCACCTTCTTCCGAAGCATGGTGACAGACAATCACTAAAAGAGAAAGAAAGTACCATTTTCTTGGACAAAATGCCAGATTTTGAAGAAGGAGAACTAGCTGGCTGTGATTCGTGGAAGAAAAGGTTATGCTAGGCACAGTATCACCTTATTTAACCCTTGACCAGTTCCACTGGGAAAACATCGGCCTCAATTTTAAAATCCAAAAACTCAGGATTAGAAGGTAAAGATGACTATCTAAAGATATGGATAGGAAGGGGCCAGACTGGGCCTGTTGAGCTGTCAGTGAAGTACATGGGTGTCTTTTTCTGGTACAAGGTGGCGCTGTCTACACCAAGGATCAGGACTGTACATGGTAAACAGCCCACATTTTACAGAAAGCAGTATTTCCAAGCTCTCTCCAATGAAGAGACCAGGAAACAGTCACAAGTAGCAGTGAATGCACTTGCATCACGGATTGTGAGCTCTCAATACAATCCAACTCCTTGCTAAGATGAACCTTATCTACCCACATTGGTGTCCATGGAGTCTCTGCCTCTTACTCTGCATTTGTTCTGGGAGTTGGTGAAGGAATGGGGCTCATGTTTTTAATTTAGCTTTTTCTTTCTTTCTCTTTCTTTCTAGTACCAGAAATCGAACTCAGGACCTTACATTTGCTAGGCAGGTGCTTATGCCACTGAGCCATATCCCTGGTCTTTGCTTGTTATTCTGAAAAAGGAATTCAAGTTAATAAATGCAGAAGAAGAATACAGGTATTAGTCCCCATTTTGTAATCCTAAAAAACATCATGATTCAGGCCCATTGGTTCTCAAGGTTTAGCACGCATCAGAATCAGACAACTACAATTTAAAACTACACTGATACTCCACAAAGAATGGTTATCATCAAAAAAACCTCTGAATAACAAGCGCTGTTGAGGACATAGGAGAAAAGCAACTTTTCCACACTGTTAGAGGGAATGGAAATCAGTACAAGCACTATGCAAATCAGTGTGGAGATTCCTCAGAAAACTAACAACAGAAATTACATGCAGGGTGTAGTGGAATTACATCTGTATTCCCAGCACTTTTGAGGCTGAAGCAGGAGGATCCTTGTGAGCTCAAGGCCAGCCTGAACAGCATAGCAATACCCTGTCTTAAAAAGACAAAATACCATAAAAAAATAAAAGAGGCCACAAGGAGCTAAAGTGACAAAAGATAGGAATTAAGAAATTTCATTTACCCAGCCTAGGTACTGTCCCAAAAGATGTATGAAGGGATGTCTGCGTGTCCATGTTTAAAGCAATGCAACTTATAATACACTAGGTAGACCTTAGAATCAGTGTGTATGCTCATTAACAGATAATCAAATAAGGAAAATATGGTATTTATACACAATAGAGTACTGTGCCACCATCAAAGTAAACTTGAGCCTTTCATGAATAAATGGATGTAACTTGAAAACATGTTAGGGGCCAGAGAAATAGGTCACTGACACAGCACCTGCCTGGCAAGCGCAAGGTCTTGAGTTCAAGTCCCAGAACAACAAAAAAACCCATAACATTAAATGAAAGAAGTTAGATACACAACTCAAACATCATATAGGTTTACCTTATATGAGAAACACTATGTACACATACACACAAATAAGGAGCATAACAGAAGAGAGATAAGTAGGAAACAGGGAGAATATTTCTTCAAATTACATATTCTATTGTTTCAAAAATATCTAATATGAGCCGGGCATGGTAGCTCACGCCTGTAATCCCAGCACTCAGGAGGCTGAGGCAGGAGGATCGTTGCAAGTTCGAGACCAGGCTGGGCTACAAAGTGAGCTCAAAGTCTGAACTGCATAGCGAGACCCTGTCTCAAAAAGACCAAAAAAAAAAAAAAAAAAAAAAAAAAATCTAATATATACACACGCTAATCTGTTTATGTTAGTTGACTGAAAAGAAAGTTTTGTTATAATCTGCTTTTTGGTAAGAATCTTTTTGGTTATATTTTGTACTCTGAGTATTTTGAAGATGATAATATACAATGTTACTAACGTTATTCTTATTTTGTTATGAAATTTTTTTTCATATATATATCCTTTAATTCTTGCTTTACTAATAAAAGTCAGGAAAAGAAATCAATAAATATTTCTATGATGAAATATGTCTCCTAATGAGAGGGAAAACTACTGAAGCCTTTGTACAAAGTTCGAGCATTATTACATGGGTTGGGTATAGGTCAATGACACAGCACTGACCTAGCAGGTGCTAGTGTTCCCCTCACAAAAAAATTATGCACCAGAGGCATAAGTACACCCCATAATTTATAAATATCAATTATTAAGTAGTACAACGTGGCATGCTACGTACTCAGAAACTCCACTGTCTGATGCATTCTAAGCATCAAGCCATTAACTGAACCCCACCTGAGCCTTTATTGTTCCATTTAACTTCCCAAGCACACTTTTCTGCAAAACACTTCCACAAGAAATGGCCCCTATTTATAAGGAAAGGGCAAGTAATATAGAGTTCAAGGATCCCATGGCAGAAAAGCAACAAGACCCAGGATTCACATTCACATCTACCTAACTCCAAGGCCTGGGCTCTTTCCTGTTTGCCAACCAGCTCAGTTCCTGGGCCCTACACTGCCACACACAGAGACCCCACAAAAATCAACCAACAACTAATCACTGATTGCTTTTCATTATACTTACTGTAGAACCCCCATAAGTACTAGATAAGGCCCCTACCTTCAAGCTTTTGTTCTCCTTCAAGAAGCTAAGGGAAAGAGATGAGGGACAATTCCATACAGATGAAACTAGTTGTAAAAATAACAACTATAGTATGAACTCTGATTAAGGTCTGCGATTATGGTGGACTGAGGTTGCCATCAAAAACTTATTTGAAACAATAGAAAAGATGCTTATTTTTAAAAGATGCTTCTTCTTCATTCACTCATTTATTCGTCTAGCTACACACAGCCCCTAGTGCTAGGCACAATTAGGTACACTGTCAAACTAAACGAAATCCTGAATGTGGCTGCGGAATAAAGAATATAAATGAATGTGCACGGTGAATTACTTAGAAATGCGAAAGGGTGCTAAGGATGCAGCTCAATGACAGTAATGGCCTAGCATGCCCACAACCCAAATACAGCAAAAAAGAAGAAAAAAAAAAAACTTTCTTAAGGGGAGAAACAGCACCCAAATAATCAAAATATTTCCCAAAACGCATATAATTTTTGAGGGGTCTTTTTGAGGCAAGGTCTCACTATGGAGTTCAGGCTGGCCTTGAGCTCACTTTTATAGCTCAGGCGAGCCTTGAACTCGCGGCGACCCTCCTGCCCCGGCCTTCCGAGTGCTGGGATTACGTGCGTGCGCCATCAAGCCTGGCTCACGAATGTAATTATTATGTATCGCGAACATACACCAATTAAAAAAAAAAAAGCGCGAGAAGATCTAGGATCTCTGTCTCCGTTCAAAGCCTAACACAGTGACTAGGAGCTGTGGGCCCTTCCGCAGAAAGCAAGCGTGTGATCTACCCAATCTTCACGACCCTTCCTGATATAGGTACCTGGAAAGTAAGGACACATCTACGCAACACCCCCAAAGCCCTCGAGAAGCACTTCCCAGAGAACTGGCTTCTCGGTAAAGGGGCAATTTTGCTCAGCGAGGCGTTGGGGGTCGGCGTGGGACAGAACAGCGACCTGGAGGCAGAGCTTAGTCCCCAAGCCAATCCCTCTGCCAGCCTCGGAGGGTCGCGATGGCACTTCAGCACTCATCCCTAGTACTCCCGCAACGGGTACCTGTGGCTGGAGCCTCGCGGATCCCAACCTGCAGCTAAACGGAAGCACGTGGGGCCACCGAACTCCAAAAGCGGAAGGAACAGCAGGCTGTCCCCAGCGATTGCCTGACCGCCGGCTCTCGCAATTCACCCCCGCGCCGCCGCTGACTTCCGCTCAGGCGCAGACAGACAGCGCGTGCATGGATCCATAAATGCTCAGCGGCAACAAGCGGCGTGGGACCTTCATGAAAGCCGTCTCCGATTGATGACGTCAGACACCCGGGAGGCGGAGCTACCCCGCCACCGCGAGTTTTTGGTTGCCGAGTTACGGCGATACACCGATTAGCAGGGCAAATTAAGCCTGAAAGTACGCACCACCGCTGGTGGTGACCTCACGGATGCGGGGCGGTACACGGTTTCCCACGGTTCTGTTGCTCTGGTTCTCCGAGTGACGACGGCTCTACACCTTTGTACTATACCGACCCCTGTGAGTCTTAAACACGAGAAAATTTGGCCACCCGACCTGTTTTATTCATCTCGCTTGACCCTCCAGCCCGCAGTATTGACCTTGTATTTTGTGCTACTTCTACCCACGAACTGCTATGCTTTGCAAGCTCCCCTTGGCCGTATTCTAAATCTTCAGAAAACTAATCTTGGGGGTGTGCTTTTTTACTACTCCCCAGCTTCAGGCTACAGGGGCTAACTCTTGGGCTCCAGAGCTAACTTCCAAGTATGTACAGTTGCTTATTTCTTCTTGGTATCACAAAGTCAGTGTTCGAGACCGAACTCATTTAAACTTCCCTACTTTCAATTTCAATATACTCAGCAACACTTAGCTATCTTCCCAAAAACGTCTTTTAATTCATTGAACAAAATGTTTTGCAGCTTAAAGTTCTAAATGGTATTTTTAAAAAGTGACCCGAGTCACTTTTAGAAGTCCTCATGTGGTGACCACTTTTAAGGAGACTTAAACTTGGACAAACCACTGAAAATATGGCAGCCCATCCATATTGAAAATGTACACAGCCCTGACGTGGGAAAAAGCTAAGCAAAGCAGCCAGTGTAACTAAGGTATGTTCAGCAAATGAAAAATCAATAGGAAAATAACCCGAATACTGGAAATGTAGACCATATTTACAATTTAATTTTAGTTAAGGAGAACCACTGGAGTTTGGAGACAGGAACTACAAGATCCAGTTGGTGCTGAAAAGTTCATACTGGCTGCTGTACAGAAACTGGACCACAGGAAGGAAAGAGTACAAACAAAAAGAGTTCTCCTTATGATAGGAGAACTATCATAAGCTACTTTGTTATAGAGTGGTAGTGGTGGCAGTCCTGAGCACTAGATGACTCAAGAAACTTTCATAGTAGAGTAAGACCCCAACAGATCTGCGCAGCTGAATCAACAGAAAGCAGCAGCTACGATAATGAGGTAGATCTGGGAGTACCTGACACACAAATCAAGATAGTACAAGTTGAGTGTTGAGCGTCTGGAGAACTACAAATACTTAGGAGTGACTGAAATACTACAGTCAAAATTATGAAACTGAATCAATCACCCGGTGGAGAGTATAGCTGGTGATGGAAATCTGTTTAAGACCTGCAGAAGACATCGAAAGATACTCAACAATAGACTGCTAGACAGGGAATCTGTGGAATACACTTACCAGTATCGCCCCACATCTTAATTTTATGTTGCTGTCATTTCTCAAAAGGAAAAGGGAGGCTATTCCAACCAAATGTACCTCCTACATCTCCTGGCCCATACATTTCCTCAACATTGTAATGTGTCTTTTAAATGACAAACTTACTAGGTGACTCATCATTTCTATCCTGAATAACAGCAGTCAACTTAAAACCTTAAAAGAACTTCCACTGAAGGTTCGGGGATATGGCTCAGTGGCACAGTGCCTGCCCAGCAAACACAGGTCTAGAGCTCAATTCCTGGTACCAAAAATTGGAAAATAATTTCACATGGCATTTTAACTATAAAGCTGAATACAGTAGCCTTGACCCATTTCTCTATCCTTATCTACTGTCCTTATTGTTTTGTGGACTTGAGACCTGAACCCAGGGCCTTGTGCATGCTAGGCAAGCATTATCACTTTAGTATATAGCCTCAAGAACCTTCCCCAACTTCTGAGGTGGGATCTATTAGTTATCCACATTGGCAATCTTGTGATCCTCCTGCCTCAGCCTCTCTTAGCTGTGATAAACAATCATACCATCTTTCCTGGCCTGCTAATCCTTAGCTCTTCCCACTTAAGTCAGACTCCATTCGCAGTCATTGGGGTCTGGACTTTTGGATAGCTTTTCCCACTTGTCTAGGTAACTACTCTTTGTCCAAGTGTTGGCTCAACTATCCCTTTCGGCACTCCATCAGTCGGATTGGGTCACTTACCAGTCATACTCCTTCATCTACAGAAAACCTCACTGTTCTATCATGCCTTTACCACACTCACGTTAGCATCTTTGAAACAGTAATTTTTCTAACCTAGGGTCTGGTAGGGTGCCTGACAAGGATTACCAAATTTTCTGAATAAAGCCTTAGTTCAGTGGCTAAGTGTCTCCCTAATGTACACAGAATACTTACTGAAAGCTAGTAAGTAAATATGTTAAGAAGTATTTACACAATCAGGTACAAACTACTGGTCTTTCATTGTCTGCATTCAAAGATCTAGGCTGCTGCATGGAGAACTGAGGCTTCAGAATGGCTTGTTCAAGGAGGCTATTAGCAGGGCTACAGATTGAGAGAGCGTAAGTAGTCTAGCTGCCTCATCAGCAGAACCAGACAGATCTTTTTTTTTTTTTTTCTTAAGGAACACTTCTTCACTTAAGAGCTTTGGTGGGTGACATACAACCAGAGCAGGCTTCACTCAAAAACAATGAGGAATCAAGTTTTCATATAGTTTAACCTAATGTAATTTAAAATATTTACTTGTCTTTTCCAGTATTTTTTTAAGAATTCAAAGTGGGAAAAGGTATAGTAATAAACTTTTACCAATTCACATTCCATCCCCCACCTAGAGTTCTTTCTCCCATTTATCTCCATAAAAAGGACAAGCTCAAGGGCAACGCTGACTCTTTATTAAGGGAGTCCTAGTAAATGCTAAAACTGCTTAGTAAAAACTCAAGTGGAACAGAGCTGGGAGCTTAAAGTTGAAGTGAATTATATGGATTCACCTGTATCTCATTTCCACTAATTAGATGTATCACTAAAAATATGACAAATTTCCTATAGCAGAGGAAGCTCACTGCTCAATTACTAAACCTTCGATATTCACACTGGTTATCAACTTAGCACCTCAGTGAATGAGCCTGACAACAAGCACACATTCTCATGTGTCTTCTGAGTGGCAAGTCTCCTACACAGAGCTGTATGTATAAGGAGACAAAAGAACTGATAGAAGTTAACTGATTAAAAACACTGAACAATCATTTTAATATCAAGATACATTGATCAGAAAAAAATCTTGCATATTTTTAGGAATATTAGGATCTAGAAACAAAACCGCCCTGACCAAGGTAATCATTAATATTCTCCCTTTACTGAAGATGTTTTAAAGTTTCATTATCCACGTGAGGTGACGGATACTGTGCATGTACGAAAGTATTTTATATGTTGTCTCACTATCCCAAGAGGCTACAGTCCCATACGGAGCCATCATTCCTTGTAACTCTGCTAAATTACACATTTGACCCAACAAAAGGCTTCATGCACCTAAGACAAGGATTCAAGTATTACACAAAATACTGAGTACCAAGATTCTGATCTTGATGGGTCTTTTTCAAAAGTTCTGTCCAATAATGAGGTATTTCTTTAAAAATATGATCAGAATTAAGACATAATAAGTTTATGTAGAATGCCCCCCACAAAGTTATGGTATTTAAAAAAGAAACAACTCTTAAGACATGGAAGTAATAAAACTACAAACACCTTTACAGTCTCATCTGTGCAATGCATAGAAGTTTGAAACCCAAAAAGCGTATCTCTCAGCCCGTCTCTCTCCAACTGATTCACACTGACTGTTGTAAAAAACAAACACAAAAACTTATTTCGTTTAGATTTCTAAATGTCATGAAAAGATTTTCTACACAGATAACAAATTTAGTTTTCTATAGGACTGTAAGCACACGTTATCTGGGGTATTCCAATAAACCATGAATGTTTATTCACCCCGCTAAAATACAGCTTACATATGGTTGTGGTACATCGCAGGCAGATGAAATCGAAGCACACAAGGGGAGGTGCTAGCAAAAGAATTTTTCATTTACAAAAGTAAACACTTTACGCTTTCGATATGATGTACCACAACCACACATGAGAAAAGTCAAGAATTTATTTTATTTATTTTAAAATAAACATTGAGGCTTCCCCATTACCCACCACCCTACAAAACTTTTGAATGTGGAATGTTCAACAGCCTATCCATTTTAGTAGGTTACAAAACCAGCAAAAACTCCAGTTGTCTAAGGATGAATAGTTTTGGCTTGATTTGGTTTGGTTTGGTTTTTAAGTAACCGAGTACCTACTGGACAATTTCCTTAGCTAAAGGCTAAAAATAAAAATTTTAATTTCTGCACAGAGAATACCATTAACTTAGTAGCCTTTGCTTAATAGATGGGATTAATTCTCCATAAAGTCAAAGTGGTATGGGACAAACAAGCAGCATTGAGTTCAGAGGCACACAGAACTAGTGCTCAAACTGCTAGCACAAATTCCAACATAGTACATATGGCTAAGTTACTACTGAGCTGTCTATCTCCATCAAACTTGAGACTCTCCCTATGCATCTACGGAAAGAAATCACCACTTTGAACATAAATGCCTCCATGAGAAAAGGAGAAGCCAATTCGGGTTGAAGTAGACAAACGATGAGCGCAAATACTACAGAACAGCTGCTGGAGACAATCATAAAACTTGTGACACTAACAATGCATGGGGGCAAATCACATAAGCTGCTAGCTGTTGA